AAGTTTTACTATATATTTATTTTATTTTAAAATTATATTTAAAAATTTTATAAGTTTATTTCTGTGCATTATTGCACAGGTTTACAACTAGTTTTTATAATACTTATTTTTTTAAAAAAAAAACTATTTTTATATTTTATCTTTTTATCTTTTTATCTTTTTTTTTTATTTATCTTTTTTTTGTTTTTTTATCAAGTTACAATCTAATTTTTTTGTTTTACTTTTTCTATTCTATTTTTTCTTTAATCTTGTCTTTTATCTTTTTTTTTACTTTTTTTTAATTATATTTTTGCCTATTATTTTTATTTTGTATTCCTATTATTTTATTTTTATTTTTAATCTTTTCTTTTTTGTTTTTTTACTTTTTATTTTAATTTTATCTATATTTTCTATTTTTAACTTATCTTATAAGCTTTTTATTATTATTATTTTATTTTTTTGTCTTTTTTTTCATATTTTATTTATTTTTTTATAAAAATAAGTAAAAATAAAGAAAAATTTATGCAATAAGTAAGTATTATATATTATATTTTGATTTATTAACAACTATTTAATAGTTACTTCTCTGACAACTATCTTTATAGCAAATATTTTTTTGCTATAACTATTTTTTTAATAATTATTTTTTTGATAGCTATTTCTCTAATATAGCCATTATTTAATATAAGATAGTTGTTAAAGAAATAGTTATACTAAGAAAATGCTTGTTTATAAAATATTGTTGAAAAAATAGTTATAGTAAAAAAATATTTTTTGAAAAAATAGTTGTTAAGAAAGTGGTTGCCAGATAATTATTAATAAACCTATATTTTTAAATACTTAATTTAAATCATCTCTTTAATATTAGGAAGTTGTTAGTTACTATATTTTTTGTGTGTTTTGAGGTTTACTCTTCATATCTATATTACTAGGCCATTTCTCTTTGGTTGATGCACTTTTTTTATTATTCTTTATCTGAATTATCTTCTCTTTTATATATTGAATATGAAGTCAAGTTATCTATAGTTTCAAATAATTCAAATTCTTTTAAAAAATCACATTTTCACTTTATTTATCAGAAAAATTTATCACACTGCCCTGAGTCTTCCTTAATAATTGTATCTGGTGACTCAAGCCTTCAAGATCATCAAGAAGCACCTGAAAGTTTTAACTTTGCTGGCTTTAGAGATACAAAGATTAATAACAATCTTATTATTGATTTTATACTTTAGCATAATCTAAATTGTGTTGCTTATAATGATCTAATACAGTCTGGTTATCCTTTTGCAAGCTTCCCACATCTATTATTATATAATAAAGATCCTGAAAAGTTTGATACAATCATAAACCAGAATGATCATCATTTTGGAAAACTTGCTTATCTATTATCAAGAAAAATGGCCAAATGGTTTTTTGAGATTTATAAACAATCAAACTTTATTTCTCACTATTTTGAAAAGCCAGAATTTCTAACATCTAAGGAAGAGTATTTGGTAGTGCAAATTACGTCTACTATATATATATTTGTTTATGTTCTTATCACCTTATTTCAATTAATTGGTACAATAATATTTTATATTAAAAAAAATATTACTTAAAAAAAAATAGTAGATAATAACAAAAAGAAAAATCTAATGATACTCTTACCAAGTAGTGAAGTCATATGACTTTAAATTTTGCATTTTTATAAAATTGGAAAAGTTTCAAACTCTGCTGAAATAGAGTTTCAAACTCTGACCAAGTGGTGAAATTATATAAATTTCAGAAATTTATATTCTTGTGAAAAAGTAATACAAAATTAATATCATGTGACTATATATGTAAATTAATATATGTATTTAAAAAATAATTAATTATAAATTAATTATTAATAAAAAAATAATTAAATTAATTAGTTAAAAATAGATAAAAATAGATAAAATCAGTATAATATAATAAATTGGTGTAATATAATATATCAGCACAACATATTGAAATTAGTATAACATATCAAAATTCAGATATATTTTATATCAAACATTTGGCAAAAATATTTTTTAATTCCTTTTTTATTAAAAAAAAACCCCAAGTTTTGTTAATTTTGTTATAACTAATTTTTTATTAAAACTAATAAATTATAATAATAGTTAGAAAAAGTATTCTATATTAAAAATTCACCAAATGTTAAACCTTAATAATACTGAGTTTACAAACTTAAATATTTTTCTCTCTTTACAACTTAATAATACTAAATTATTAAGCAATATTCTTACAAACTTAAATACATCTTTTATTTCTATCTTATATTTCTACATCTTTGTCAATTAACATTAGTGCAAAATTTCAATTCCTATTTTATAGCAAAATCTTTTTTTACTAGCAAAGATTTAGAATTTATATCAAAATATCTTTCAAGATACAAAACTTATTTTACATCAAAATAGAACCATTGTCAATTTTCCAAATACTCTATTTAATTATGCAGAGTTTTAAAAATCCTTGATTTTGACCTTCTTAAAAATAATCTTAAAAAGTAGAGTAAATTAAAAAACACTAATCTAGATAGCTTAACAAACTTATTAATTAGGCTACTTATATAATATAAATTTTAATTTTTATTTATAGTTTATATTATAAATATTTTGAAAATAATAACACAAATAGTCTATTGTTAAATACTTGAACTATTGTAAAAAAAAAAAATATTAAAAACTAAAGTAAAAAAGTATACTAATATAATTAATATTTTAAATATATATAAAGTAATCTATTAAAAGAAAATAAAAAAAATATTTGTTACAATAAAAATATGTTTAAAAGTAGGTTTAAATTTTTTAAATAATTATTTTTAATTAAAATTTTAATTTATATTATCTATATATAAAAACTTTTATTTTATAACTAATTATAAACCCATGCAATAATGTACAGGAATAAACTTATAAAATTTTTAAATATAATTTTAAAATAAAATAAATATATAGTAAAACTTT